ATTCTATTAAAAAAAACTAATATTAATTTTAAAAAAGGAAATTTCTTTTAACATATTTCTATGGTTTTACTTTGTTTAACTATCATTATAGATGCAACTGAATTTCGGTTCTAAATTAATTTTCCTCATTGTTATTTTTTTTTTAATTAAGTTATAAGTAACATGTGTAGAGTAAGAAAAGTAAGTTTATGATACAGGTAAATTTATGTAAATTGTTTAACGTTTATAAAGAAGATACCTATTTGCCGTGTATTAATTAAAAAATTAATTTAAATAGCGACTATGTAATGTCGGGGTGTATTTTGACCAGAAATGGGGTCAACAAGTGATAAATAAGATAGCATACAATGACAGACTTATAATGGTGAAAGTTAAAGCTGAATCCAACGATATCGTAGTAATTCAAGTATATTTTCCAACAACTGAAGGAGAGGACAACGATATAGAAGAAATGTACGCAGGACTCGAGGAACTCTGTAAATTAGCGAAAGGAAGTGACAACTTAATAATAATAGGGGATTGGAAAGCTGTTGTAGGTGAAGGTGCTGATGGGCAAGTAGTAGGAGCCTATGGATTGGGTACTAGAAACGAAAGGGGAGACCGACTTATAGATTTCTGCAAACAATATGACTTAGTCATAATAAAACACATACCAAAACATTCACCGGAGAAAAAGTTATACGTGGAAAATGCCAGGGGACATTGGACGATACCAAATCGATTATATATTGGTAAGAAAACGCTTCAGAAATCAAGTTCGGAGATGTAAAACTTACCCAGGCGCCGATGTGGACAGCGACCATAACCTCTTAATGATGAAAAGCAATGTTACATATAAAATACTGATGAAACCTACAAAAAATGAAAGAAAATACGACGTAAATATGCTAAAAGATCATAATACAGCGTTAGCCTATGAATCATGCATCAGTAAAACATTCAAAGCACCCTCACAAATTGAATCAATAAATATAAGATGGGAAGCAATCAAAGAAACTATACATAATGCAGCCAATAAAACTCTTATAAGAAATACGTTAGATCCCAAAACCCATGGATAAATGAACAAATTCTAAGAGATATTGAGGAAAGAAGGAAGTACAAAAACTCCAAAGACAACCAAGGAATAATAAAATATAAAGAACTTAAATACAAAATAAACAGAAATGCAAAAGAAGCAAGGGAGAAATGTCTGGAAGATAGATGTCATGATGTAGAGCTATTACTAAAAGAAAACAAAATGGACCAAGCGTTTAATACAATTAAGAAATTTGTCAGTAGTAAAACAAAAGTTAACAGCAAAATAAGAGATGAAAACGGAAATCTACTAATAGACAACGAAGACATTGCTAGTAGATGGAAACAATATCTTGAAGTTCTGTATCAGGGTGAAGAGATACCAAGCCTACATAATGGAAGTAACCCATATAATGAGGGCGCACCAATCCTAAGGGAAGAATTCAATCAAGTCCTTAAAATGATGAAAACTAGGAAAGCCCCAGGTGTAAACAATATATCAACAGAACTGATTCAAAATGCAGGTACAAAAATTCAGAACGAATTGTTTAAATTGGTAAATGACATCTATATAACTGGAGAAATACCAGAAGATTTAAAAAAAACATTATAATAACTCTCCCCAAGAAAGTAACGGCGGAAAAATGCAATGAATATAGAACCCTGAGTCTGATGATTCACTCGGCTAAAATCTTAGTAAAAATAATAGGTAACCGGATAGAACATAAAATTGAAAGACAATTAAGTAATGATCAATTCGGATTTAGAAGAAATAATGGTACTAGAGAAGCGATCTTAAGCCTTAGAACATTAATTGAAAAACAGATCGAATTTAACAACGATACATTTATCGCATTTATCGATTTTGAGAAGGCATTTGACTCAGTTCCCTGGAAGGAACTTTTTAAGACATTAGAAGAAATAGGCATTGATTATAGAGACAGACAGTTAATATACAACATATACAAAGAACAATTAGCTATAATAAAAATGTCAGACAAGTCTGCAACAGCTAAAATAGGAAAAGGAGTAAAACAAGGGTGTCCACTATCACCAAAGTTATTTAATATTTATGTAGAACAAGCTATCAATGAAATTAAAGAAACATTCACCAGAGATAAAATTGGAGTGATAGTAGGAGGAGAATTGATATCATTTTTAAGATTCGCCGATGACATAGCTCTTGTTGCAAGTAGCGAAAACGATCTCAAATGAGCGTTAGAAGAAATACCAAGGTGCTTCCAAAATTATCACCTTAAAATCAACTGGAAAAAACCAAGGTAATGATATGTCAAAAAAAGAATCGTACTCACAGAATAAGAATTAAAATTGATGACCACACTCTCGACCAAGTGGAAAACTTTAGATATATAGGTAGTATAATTAGTCAAGATGGAAAATGTACTATGGAAATAAAAGCTCAAGCAAAAACAGCATTCATGAACAAAATAAACCTACTGTGCTCTAAAAACATGAATATACGTATGAGGAAACGGCTGGTAAAGGTATATGTGTGGAGTGTCGCACTGTACGGATGTGAAACATGGGTATTAAACAAAACGGAACAAAATTTCCTCGAAAGTTTCGAGATATGGTGCTGGAGAAGAATGTTGAGAGTAAGCTGGGTAGAAAGAAGAACTAACGTAAATGTTTTAAACGAAATAAATGAAACCAGGAAGATACTTAGCACCATAAAAGTAAGAAGATGGAATATGATTGGTCATGTATTAAGACACGATGAAGAGCTTCTGTATATTATAATAGAACGGAAGATGAATGGCAAAAGAGATCGAGGACGACCAAGAACGTCTTATATCAAAAAGATGATTTCCGATGCGGGTCTAGCAAACATTAAGGAGCTGAAGAGGTTAGCTGACAATAGAGATGAATGGAGAAATTTTGGGAAATTGCAAAACCAACCTCAGGGTTGAAAAAAAAAAATTTTGACCAAGATTGAATATTTGGGGATTTGGGCAATTCGTGAGCAACGAGGTTCTATCGGGGTTGTAGAGTCCGAGGGTTTAGAACAGTAAAGACACGTACATATAATAAGAAATGAATTACGTTCCTCTCATAGAGGTATTAAACGATGAGGTATTCTTGTAGTGGCCGGGGTCTTGGCCTCCTATCTGACACCCATTCGAAGTATATGACCAAGCACTAACTAGGTATTAATAATTAAATGAAATAATTTTTAAATCAATCCATTACTTTACCATTCTTTACTCGGACTATTAATTCTAAATAATTGGGTTATTATGAAATTACTTACTTCTTTTATATAGCTTCCGTAAAGATTTATAATACTTTTCTTAAATAAATAAATAAAGTAATGACGAAAAATGATTATATTCAATATCGTCTTAAAACACAGCGGCGACAACACGGGGTCGCGGCTTGTTTGAGAAGTATAGATTGGACAAAAGAATTCTGAATTCTATATTGAATTCAAGCTTCAAAAGGGATCTTTCTTAGAAAATCAGCACCTTTTTATATTATTTTTAATTACCCCCCCTCACGGGATGTTGTCGTCAGTGTTTTTAATAATTTTCTGTTTATTGTATTAAATTTAACATAACATGATAATTATTTTTAAGATAAGATGCATAGTATACAATAATCAATTTAACATGTATATACGTACATAAGAGCTAGTATACAACAGTGTATATGTTATGACAGATAAGTAAATTATTTTTTTGTATATTAATAATATAAAAACCCAGCACAGAGGGGTCGCGGCACAGTGGTGACGTGACATAATTAAATCAAGTATAATAATATCCGACAGTGATTAAACTCACTATTAAAAAAAAATTCTTCGATGCAAATCTTAAGATTGTGTTTAATTTAGAAAAAAGGTGGATTATTCCAGAAGCTACGTGATCTGCTATTTCCTTATTAATATTCTGATTAAGATAAAGTATGTTGAATGAAAAAGGGATATAAATATTATTTTTCATAAAAAAATTGTGTTGATTCATACACTTTTCAATAAGTTATATCATTATAAAGTTAAAAATGTAAAAAATAAAATCGAGAATTTTCACACAATAATAGCATTCGGTAGCTATTTTCACCGTGAAGACAAAATAAAGCCGAATTTCTTTTTTTCATGATAAAGTATATTACATTAGCTTTAATTTAAGATATATATAAAAGTGTCAGACCTTCCGGAACATTTTCAAAAATCAAGTTGAAAAAATTAATTTCTTGTGAAAAAGTTGTCATTTTAAATCGCCTCTGTGGGCAGGTAAAGGGTCAGATTTAAAAAAAAAAATATACAAAATATAATCATCGAATTAATAATACATAATATTCACATCGAAGCTAAAATACAGATTATACATTTGATATAAGTAAGATGCGTAATGCAAAGCATTGAGCATATTACGGCACTATTAACCGTAAATAGCGTCAAATGAAATTAGTGTTACTACTGTTTATACATTTATTATCAATATCTTATTTAATATTCGTCAAAAAATTGTCTTAAATATACCGACATCATAAATTGTACATTAAATGTACAATTTATGATGTCGGTATATGTCGATATAATAAATAATAAAAAGGATAGATATGAAAGAATCCTTTATGGTTTAAATTATAAAAGCTTCCGTCGATTAGAAACATAATATTAATAGACAATTTTAGCTTAAGTTAATTTATTACAATGCTTATTGTTTATAATAATCTTGGGGATTGTGAATACAGTGGAGAGATAATTGATAATTTTTTTACATTAAAAATAAATTTTATGGGTTTTGAGTAAATATTTACTATTTTTTTTACAACAAATCAAACTTTGAATATTCAAAGTATGATTTTAAGTTTACTTATCACACACTGCAGATGTTGTTAGATGATAAATGTACAGTTGTTTAATTTACATGAAAATAATTTTTTAGTCTATTTTTTTAAAAATAACCTAGATAATAATTTTTTATAAATAAAATAAAAAATGTTAGAATTATAATTTTTTGTTACTTTAAATATAATAATGAAAAAGAGTACATTGTCGAAATTTATCATGTATTTACATATTTTCTTCACTATTTTAGTGTTTTTGATACCTACATTAACCAAGCCAACTCCAAATACAGAATGGGTAATTACATAATTACATAATACATAATTAAGAGCTCTATTTTAACATATGTGATAAGAACGCAGTATTTACAAAACATTTTCAAAAAGTAAGTAGAAAAAGTTTATATACATATTTTCAAGTTTTGAACGCCAGCTCTACAAAGAGAAATTGCCCGAATTAAAAATAGGTATGTCCGATGTAAGAGGTATATATAGTTTATTTAGAAACAAAAATATTTGTTGATATATAGATTTTTCGAAAATTTATAGTAATTTAAAGTTCAAAATTTTAAAATGAAAATTTTAACACAGAAATAGAATTTTTTAATTATGGCAGCCGTCTGCACGTAGAATATATGCCGTCATGACAAATTTTTTTTTTAAATTTATAGTACGTAACATAAGCTTTAATTTGACATATTATTAAAGAACACAGTATTTCCGAAACATTTTCAAAATTCAAGTTGATAAAATCTACATTTCAATTTAATAATTATTAAATTTAAAATTAATTATCTTATTATATAATAGAACAAGGAAAAAAACGCTTTTCTGGGAAAATTACTTAGCGTGCTCGGATTTTCAAAATTTTTTTTTTCCACGANTTAGAGTAAATTCGATGAGTTAATTATTGCAATGGGAGGATATATTGTAAATCATCAAATTACACTGTACAATTTTATAAAAGCTTTAAAAAAATGTGGAAGTATATATGATAACCTTGCAATAAATTGGTTTGAATCTGGACTTACAGGTATTACATTAAAAAAAAAAAACGGTAGTACAGTAGGTACGTGGTACAGTATGGACCTGGTATAGTTGGAACAATTTTAGAGAATATCTTTCAGTGATTAAAATCACTATCATAAGAAACGCTTCGATGTAAATCTGTAAATAATTAATTTTAAAAAATTGATGGACTATTCCAAAAGCTCAAAAAAACTCTTATTTTTGTTTTACTTCGAATGTCATTTGCACATAGAAAATAGGTCGTCGATACAAAATATATTTTTAAACTTCTAGTACATAAGAGCTCTATTTTAACATATGTGTTAAGAAAGCAGTATTTACAAAACATTTTCAAAAAGTAAGTAGAAAAAGTTCATACACATATTTTCAAGTTTTGAACGCCAGCTCTACAAAGAGAAATTGCCCGATTTAAAAATAAGTATGTCCGATGTAAAAGGTTTTATATGTATATAGTTTATTTAGTAACAAAAATATGTGTTGATATATACATTTTTCGAAAATTTATAGTAATTTAAAGTTGAAAATTTAAAATCGAAAATTTTAACACAGAATTTTTTAACTACGGCAGCCGTTTGCACGTATAGGATAAGCCGTCATGACAATTTTTTTTTTTAAATTTATAGTACGTAACATAAGCTTTAATTTGACATATTATTAAAGAACACAGTATTTCCGAAACATTTTCAAAATTCAAGTTGAAAAAATAGAGTTTTTTAAAGAATTTTCAATTTGGAATCCTTTCTTGGGAGCAAGTAAATGGTCACATTTCAAAAATATTATATTAAATAAAAGGAAGTTACTTAAGGTTTCAATATAAAAAATAATTATTTTGATTTGCTCATTTTTCAAAAAATTATAGCAATTTTTAGAACAAAAATGTCGAAGTCTACCGATTTTAAAAATTGTAATATTTGGTGGGATTTCAACCATTTACGGGGAATAAAGGAAAAATGTTCAATTATTGAGGGTAATGTCATCAACTAGATGCGATTTGTAATCTATTGACGTATCGTTGAAAAAAATCGGTCCAGTGAGAGCAAAGAAAAAATAGTAACATACACAAAAAAAAAAACAAACTTAGTAGAGTGGAGTGACGGCACAGTGAGGACATGGTATAATTGGGTCCAGTATAGATGATATCTGACAGTGATTAAAATCACTATCATAAAAAAATCTTCTATGGAAATCTGAATTTAAGAAACTGGTTGATTATTTTAAAAGCTAAATTAACTCCTATTTCTGTCATTATTCCTAATTAATAGTTGATTTATAAATTATCTATTAAAATTTCAACGTAGTATGAAATTGATATTTAATAATTATTGTAATTTTTTCGGTTAAATTATAAAAAATTTAAAGTAGTTATTACTTTTATGGCAAACGTGTATAAAATTGAAGGGCTTGACACAGAACTTTGTAAATAATAATTTGTTGTTAATTATGAATAAATGGCTTGCAAAAATTTTCATTAGAGTCAAAAATATCTTTTATTATTCAATTTTTCATGCTAATTTCAAATCAGAAATTATATGTTAAATAGTCTCAATATTTCAATTGTATCATCTATTTAGATACTAAGAATTATATAGAAATTATGAATAAATACTTAATAAACAACTTTTCTCGATGTGTTCAAATATGCAATTAAACTTTTTCTAACACTTCTAAGTTTGAATATTATTACTTACTATTAAAAAATAAGTATTTACATATAAAAAAAATAATTAAGAAAAAACAAAAATTTTTTTTAATTAATTCTAATTTTGATTATTAAAATGTTAATAATAAGGAAAATGACATTTTTAATCTATTTTTTTAATCGTTTAAAGTTGATTTTTGATATCCTGATTAGTAATTCTTTGATTTTAAAATATAATATATGAATAAATACTAATTGTATTTATTAAATTTAGTATGAAATTGATATTCAATAATTTAATATTGTAATTTATACGAAGATATAAAAAAAATAATAAGGAAGTTATATTTTGCTTTACTTTTACGTGTATAAAAATTGAAAGGGATAATAACATACGTGTTACTATAAATAAATGCACTGGACTACAAGGAATTTTCATCAGAAGCAAAAATATACTTATCTAAATCAACTTTTCACGTTATTTTCAAATATGCAGTTAGACTTTTTCTACCACTTCTGATTTTTTATATTATTACTAATTACATATAAAATAATAATTAGAGAAAAAAAAAATTTGTTCTCAAATTATTACTGATTATGATTTTTAATATGTTAAAAATAATCAGTCCAAAATTTCATTTTTAACCTATTTTTTTGGTCCTTTAAATTTGATGAAAAGTTTTTGTGAAAGTTTATCGTAAAAAAAATTAAATATGTTACCATAACTTTTAGCTCAATTACAAGTTTGAAATTGACATCATTAAATAGAAAATTTTATGAGAATTAAAACATGGTATCGTTAAGATTAATATACAGTTAGGAAGTTTTATAACTACTATCTATAGTAAATTAATCAGAAAAGCTCAACATTTTTTTTTCATTTTTATCGTAAAAGATAACTTAAATAGAATTAATAGTAATAATTTCCTAGTAACTTTTGTTGTTTAAAAAGATTCTGCAATTGAAATATTCAGAACTTAATTAATTTTAATGGTTTACTTTAACTAAATGAACCAATCAAAACAAAGTAATAATTTATATAGCAACATGTTACCAAAAAGTTTGGAATATTATAGTCTAGTATAACACACATAAATAGAGTAAAAAAATTATTAAATTACAAAGTAGAATGATTTAATTTTGTAGTTGAAACCTATCATATCAAACTTAATTCATCAATAAATACTTTGAAAACATTAAAAATGAATGATTTTAATTGTCTGTATGGAGAACATGGGATAAATAACTGTTTAATTGATAAATTAGAATTTTTTTTCAATTTTTTAGGGTAATATCTTCAACCAGGTACGAATTGTAGTAATTTCACGTACCGTTGACAAAAGTAGGTCAAGTTAGAGTAGAGAAAATAAATGATAGTCACAAAAAAATATCTTCTTAGCTTTGCATCGAAGCTAAAACTTAATTTAGTAAAATAACTTTAATATGTATAAGAAATTTTTTTCTCGCGAGTGGCGACTACAGTAATTGCATCCTTGATCTTTATGGAAGTTATAGAATCTAAATGAGATAATAATCAAAGCAGTTGAAAATTTATTCAAACTTAAAAAGAATTATGAAATAATGCTCTTTACCATAAGCGGGTTGGAACCTTGTACCTCAAGCGCGTAAGACACAAGTGTTACCAACTCGGCAACCGTATATTGCTTTCGTCGACTGAATAAATGTCAATTTAAGTTAGTTAATTTCAAAGTTAATTTCCTCGGCTTCAAAAAACCAAAACAATTTAAATAAGTTTCACTTTCTATGCTATATCAATTTTATTTATATAATACTTATGAAAATCTGTGTACACCCTTTGTCAGGTATTTTAAAATAAAATAAAATACAAAACCCAGAATTTAAACACAAAAATAGCATACTTTTGCATACGGTAGTCATTTTTTCTATAAAGGGGAATGATCCGATTTACAAAAAAAGTGTGTCAGATAAAAGAGGTATATACAAATGTATTATAAAAAATAATAATATTGATCCATACATTTTTCCAAAAGTTATAATAATTAATTTCTATTTTATTTTTGAATGATATCCCTAAAATATGCCTAAGGAGTAATTTTTTTTTATATCAAACCTCAAATTAACTATGTTTCATATAAATAATTTAAATTTTAATCCATACGTTTTTATAAATACCTTAGGTATCTATAAAAAAAATTTATATTGATTCGGTCATTTAAAAAAAAAAATGAAAAAAAAATGAAAAAATGTCGGAAATTAGCGATTTTTAAATTTGTAATTTTTTGGTGGATTTCCCCGTTTACGTAGAATGAGGGAAAATATTTCAATTTTTTAGAGTAATGTCTTCGACTAGATACGATTGTGATCTTTTGACGTATCGTTTAAAGAAATCGTTTCAAAGTTTGTCAAGAGCTGACAAAAAGTGGTAACAGACACAAAAATAAAAAGTAATATAAATAAAAAAAATTTAAAAAACACTTTTAAAACACTTAGTAAATAGCTATATTAGCTTCAATAGCTTTGCATTGAAGCTAATACAAATTGCTTATTAAAATGCATGTATTATTTATTTTCTAGGTGAACAAATGTTGAACATCGAACCACTTTTGATATTAGTAACTAATAATTTTGATAATCAATTAATTAAAAAAATAGAGTTTGTATATAAGACTCTGAATAATAACAATGATGGACAAATTGATATATTAAAATATCGCGCTATAAGTATACTCTGTGGTATTCCTATAAATACAAGTGTTAGTACTTCATATCAAAGCAAATCAATTTAAATATTTTATTAAAATATAATTTTATTAAATCTACACTTCAATTTAATAATCATTAAATATAAAGTTAATTATAATATTTCATTTATTTAGAGTGAACACGATAAGTTACTTATTGCAATAGGAGGATATATTGTAAATCAACAAATCTCTCTGAACAATTTTATAAAAGTTTTAAAAAATTTTGGTAGTGAATATGATAACTTTGCGACAAAATGGATTGAATCTGGACTTGATGGTATTACATAAAATATATATTGCTTTTTAAAATGCATGTATTATTAATTTTCTAGGTGAACAAATGTTGAACGTCGAACCGCTTTTGATATTAGCAACTAATAATTTTGAAAATCAATCAATTAAAAAAACAGAGTTTGTATATAAGACTCTGAAAAATAACAATGATGGTAAAATTGATATATTAAAATATCGCAGTATATATAACCTCTCTGATATTCCTTTAGATACAAGTGTTAGTACTTCATATCAAAGCAAATCAATTTAAATATTTTATTAAAATATAATTTTATTAAATCTACACTTCAATTTAATAATCATTAAATATAAAGTTAATTATAATATTTCATTTATTTAGAGTGAACACGATAAGTTACTTATTGCAATGGGAGGATATATTGTAAATCAACAAATTTCTCTGAAGAATTTTATAAAAGTTTTAAAAAATTTTGGAAGTAAATATGATAAATTTGCGAAAAAATGGATTGAATCTGGACTTGAAGGTATTACATAAAATATATATTGCTTTTTAAAATGCATGTATTATTAATTTTCTAGATGAACGAATGTTGAACATCGAACCGCTTTTGATATTGGTAACTGATGATTTTGAAAATCAATCAATTAAAAAAACAGAGTTTGTATATAAGGCTCTGAATAATAACAATGATGGTAAAATTGATGTATTAGATGATTGAATTATAGGTTTACTCTTCGATATTCCTATAGATACAAATGTTAGTACTGCTTATCAAATCAAATCAGATATTTATTAAAATAAAATGTTATTAAATCTATATTTCAATTATCAAACATTTTATATAAAATTAATTATAATTTTATAATTTATTTAGAATAAACGCGAAGAGTTAATGATTGCAATGGGAGAATATATTGTAAATCAACAAATTACACTGAATAATTTTATAAAAGCTTTAAAAAAATTTGGAAGTAAATACGATAAATTTGCGAAAAAATGGATTGAATCTGGACTTGAAGGTATTACATAATATATATTTATTGCTTATTAATAGTTGACCCCAAGTAGTTGGTATTAAGGTGTGGAAAAAGAAGACATATTACTTTTTAATATGCATGTATTATTAATTTTCTAGGCGAACGAATGTTGAACGTCGAACCGCTTTTGAAATTAGCAACTGATAATTTTGCTGGTCAGCCAATAAAAAGAATTGCTACAATTTTTAAGGCTGTAGACAGTAACAATGATGGCAAAATTAGTTTTATAGAGGGTGGCAATATATGTTTACTCTGTGATATTTCAATAGATACATATCTTAATATTCCTTATAAAGGCAAATCAATTTCAGATTATATATTAAAATGAAATGTTATTACAATTATTAATGCATTAAATTTTGCCATTTACCAAGATATTAATAAATAATTTTTTTTATACAATATAAAATATATAAATATACAGAGTGTTCAGTAAGTCAGGAAACGGGTTTCTATTGTTCTCATTGTTACAAACAATGAGAACAATAGNAAGGTTCAGTCTTGGTTTAATGAGCATCAGAATCTCAACATAATTGAACCAATATGGGGTGTTTTAGAGCAGAGAGTGAGAAGCATATTTCCACCTCCAACATCTCTGAAACAATTGGCGGATATTTTGATAGAAGAATGGGACAAAATTCCGCTGGAAACGATTCAGGTTCTCTATGAATCTATTCCGCGAAGGATTGAAGCGGTTTTAAAAGCAAATGGAGGCCCAACATCTTATTAATAAATAAATATTGAGTATATGACAGGTGTTCATATTATTTTGTCCACCCGCTGTATATCTTTGTAATTATGAATAAAGTCTAAGGTGTTAATCCAAGTTTAGTTACTTTATGTACTACTAATATAAGAAAATTTTTTACACACAAATGATATTTATTAGTTAATGTACCATCATATGGCATACCTTGGGATTTTTCGTGTAGCTAACAAAATACTAACGCAAATCATACAATGTTCCAAAACTACTAAATCTATGCGCTTGATTTTTTTATTAATATAAAAGCAACAAGCGTTTATGGGGAGGGACAGGTGGTCAGCTTTGTACAGTCTATGGATTAAGTAAAATGTGTCTGTTTATTTCTAGGAGCCTAGCAAATTCTTAATAATAGAGTCGTTAATTTTTGTTACAGTATTTTGCTACTGGTTATAACCATTATATAATATTTAAATATTTTATACCTAGTATAAAATGATCTATGTTTATATGATATATTGTATTATAGGATAACATTTTGAAAAATAAATAGTCGCTATTACTATCATTTACTTTTACACAAATATTAAAACTTTTTTCATCAGAAATTAATATAAGTATATATTTTTCGCATATCGATTCACTTATACGTGTGGACCACTAAAATACACAATCCAATATCACGGGCATGACCTGCACTTGCATGTACCTGGATGCAGTCCCCAACGAGCGGTCAGGGGGTTTACAGTAGATCAGGTGTGACATGACCAAGGCGGAATGTATCTCACTTGTGCACCTATTGTTTTCCTGAGAACAATAGCCCATTATTATGAGAACAAAAGGTGACGCCATTGATTAAAAACTTTTTTCAGGTGAACAAAGATTTATTTAGTTAAAAAAACAAAATTTATTTTCAATAACTATAAATCTTCTTATAATTATATTTGAATTATATACAGGGTGTTCAGTAAGTCAGGAAACGGGTTTCTATTGTTCTCATTGTTACAAACAATGAGAACAATAGAAACCCGTTTCCTGACTTACTGAACACCCTGTATATAATTCAAATATAATTATAAGAAGATTTATAGTTATTGAAAATAAATTTTGTTTTTTTAACTAAATAAATCTTTGTTCACCTGAAAAAAGTTTTTAATCAATGGCGTCACCTTTTGTTCTCATAATAATGGGCTATTGTTCTCAGGAAAACAATAGGTGCACAAGTGAGATACATTCCGCCTTGGTCATGTCACACCTGATCTACTGTAAACCCCCTGACCGCTCGTTGGGGACTGCATCCAGGTACATGCAAGTGCAGGTCATGCCCGTGATATTGGATTGTGTATTTTAGTGGTCCACACGTATAAGTGAATCGATATGCGAAAAATATATACTTATATTAATTTCTGATGAAAAAAGTTTTAATATTTGTGTAAAAGTAAATGATAGTAATAGCGACTATTTATTTTTCAAAATGTTATCCTATAATACAATATATCATATAAACATAGATCATTTTATACTAGGTATAAAATATTTAAATATTATATAATGGTTATAACCAGTAGCAAAATACTGTAACAAAAATTAACGACTCTATTATTAAGAATTTGCTAGGCTCCTAGAAATAAACAGACACATTTTACTTAATCCATAGACTGTACAAAGCTGACCACCTGTCCCTCCCCATAAACGCTTGTTGCTTTTATATTAATAAAAAAATCAAGCGCATAGATTTAGTAGTTTTGGAACATTGTATGATTTGCGTTAGTATTTTGTTAGCTACACGAAAAATCCCAAGGTATGCCATATGATGGTACATTAACTAATAAATATCATTTGTGTGTAAAAAATTTTCTTATATTAGTAGTACATAAAGTAACTAAACTTGGATTAACACCTTAGACTTTATTCATAATTACAAAGATATACAGCGGGTGGACAAAATAATATGAACACCTGTCATATACTCAATATTTATTTATTAATAAGATGTTGGGCCTCCATTTGCTTTTAAAACCGCTTCAATCCTTCGCGGAATAGATTCATAGAGAACCTGAATCGTTTCCAGCGGAATTTTGTCCCATTCTTCTATCAAAATATCCGCCAATTGTTTCAGAGATGTTGGAGGTGGAAATATGCTTCTCACTCTCTGCTCTAAAACACCCCATATTGGTTCAATTATGTTGAGATTCTGATGCTCATTAAACCAAGACTGAACCTTTTTCGCTGTGTGTATTGGCGCATTATCATCTTGGAATATGGCAGTGTTTGGCAGTAATATGCTGGCCATAGTAAAAACTTCATCATTGAGGATATCGAGATGGTCATTGGCAGTAATCCGGCCACTCATTTGAATGATAGGACCAGTTGAATACCACGATATGGCTGCCCAAATCATAACAGAACCACCACATGCTTAACTGTAGGAAGCCGGCAGTCCGGATTATACGCTTCTTTTGGAGTTCTCCATACATAAGCCCGTCCATTTGTAGGGAACAATGTAAAAGATGATTCATCGGACCATATAACATTCTTCCAATCATCAAAAGTCCAATTTTTATAATCACGGCGCCATTTCATTCGCAACTTGGCGTTCTTTTCTGTAATAAAGGGTTTTGCAATTGCAGCCCTCCCATAAATACCATCTTTGTGAAACTCCCGTCATACAGTTTTTGTCGAAGCAGTATTACCCAAATGAGCATTAAGTTCTGCTGTAACTTTAGACGCGGTAGTTTTATGTTGTCTTGTCACAATCCGTTTTAATGTTCGTCGGTCCCTGTCAGTAACTTTGGATTTCGCCCACTATTACTTTTCGCCGATGATGTTTTTCCGTATTTCGTGTATGCTGTTATTAATGTAGACACTGTCCCTCTTGACACGTTCAACAGTTTAGATGTCTCCGTTACAGACGCTCCCGCTAATCGAGCACGCACTATTTGCTCTTTTGGAAGTCCGAGAGGTCACGCATTTTATTTTAACGTTCGTAGTATAACCTGTGTAATACACTAATATGTTATAAATAACTACTATATTGTGATAATATATTAATTTTACGACATGTTATCCAAAAAATATACAGTGTAGCCAACTTGCAACAATTTGTAACTATATTGCATGGTGTTCATATTATTTTGTCCACCCCCTGTATATGTGGGTACCATTGGTGTCTAGATGGCACCACTTCCAGGGTCTGGAAGTATCATTAAGTATTATAAACAGGGAAAATTAAATCAAGTCGTGAGTCAGCCATGAGTAGGCTAAGACGTGTCTCTATGTACATTTTTATTTTTATATGTGTGTTCTGTTTTATATATTATTTTTGTGTTGTGTGAATTTTTTACAGAGTTTTCGTGTGTGATTAAATATATATGTTATTTTTGTTTGTTAATATTTAACATAGCTTTTGTGTATTAATAAATATATATATATATAAATTAAACAATAGTATTGTGTCTTTGCTCTGTTCTTGTGGTTGCCTGTTGTATTTACCACATAAATGTATAAAATTACTTTAAAACTCTAACAAACAATTCTCGTTAATCGCCACACAGGCACTACTCCTAACTAAGCCTACATAGCACCCGATCACACCACAGTAATCAGGGTGACCACCACACAACTCTAACATTCGGCTATCCGACAAAAATTAGAATGACCTCATTCTACAATTATACATATAATAATGAATATTATCATTTCAATATCACAATGTAATAAACAAAAAAAAAACTAATAATACTAACACAAAAAGACAATATATAAATGTTTATCATATATAGCACAAAATAGATATTATTATAGTAATATTTCAGGTTTTAACAACAAAAATAAATAAATTAATAGGTAAATGAGCAAATATTAATTGACAACTTCAGAATTATTCAAAAACCATTTACTAATAATGTAATAGTAATGGTATACAAATTATTTTCATAATGTAATAATATTTAACAATTCAGCTGCAATTTATAATAATAAATGGCATAATTTAAGAGAAATATATTAATAGAAGTAAATCACAACACGTATTCAATATAAATCATCATGATTTGTCTTCTTTCAATCACTTGAAACTTCAGAAGTATAATAGAAGATAATGAAATCAGCACCAGGTCTAATAATCTTTTAAAACTTAAGAGGCTAATTTCATTAAATTTAACTTGGGTGAATAACCATGTAGTAGATTGAAAGGATTTTCACATGTTGTTTTGTTCACTGCTGTATTATTATACAATTGGATTCTGCTCTACATCCTTTATTCTTTTATCCTATCTAGTTTGATCCTCTGTTGTTATACTAAAAGTAATAAGAAGGATCCGATTAACTCTTTCCACTTGTCCATTGGCGTGAGGGTGTCTGGATGAATTTAAAGTCACTCGTACACCATGATTTTGACAAAACGTTTTAAAGCTAGAAGCAGTGAAACAAGTCCCTTTGTCACAAATTATTCTATCAGGATTTCCCATCTCTGTTGTAATTTTTTTTAAGCAACGTATGACGCCCTTAGCTTCAGTTGTTCTGCATGGAAACAGCTTGAAATACTTGGTTTTATTGCTAGTTAAATTATCAATTAAAACTAAAATGTACCTGTTCTTCGGAATGGAAGTCTCAAATGATCCAAGTGAATGACTGAAAGGGGTTGCTTACTTGGAGATATTTGATGTAGGAGTCCGGATTGTTTCCCAGCAAGTTTCTTATGTAAGAGACAATCAACGTACATGTTTACGTGATGTCTTATATATCGACGCACGCTTTTAAACCAGCAATCTTCTATAATCTTAGTGACAGTACGCTCTAGTGAAAAGTGTTCACTTAAGTCATACTGTGCAATTAATACACCTTTCCTCTATGATTTTGGTACTAAAAATAGTAAATGACCTTTAAAATATCTGTATAAAATACCACCATTAATTTCATAATCTTTTACCAATTCCTGTTCGTATATTGTCTTCATGTCCATTTCTATAATCTTCAATTTTTTTGTATCTTCATCACCCTGTTGCATGAATCTCACTTTTTCATCTAGTGTCAATCACAATACTACCTCCAACCTCTGCTAATGTGTTTTCTACTTAGTATTGAGACTCGGCTAACTCATGTGTAGATATATTTAAGACATGTGCCATACTAGTGCTCGGTTTGTACTTGACCTCAAATTCAAAACATTGTAAAATATTGAACTACCTGGCAACTTAAGGCTTTAATGACTTATGTAAGTTCAGATAAACAAGGGCGTAATCGATTAAAAGTCCACACCACTGCATACAGCTCCAAACGACTAGAGTGTTACATCCGTTCCGCCTCTGTTGTCCTATTATAAATGACAGATCTATACTGATAATATTGCCAATACGTCAATAAATGTATCTAGTTCAAGCAATCAGCGTCAAAATTTTTGAAAAAGTTTTGAAAAATTTTCCTTAATACCAGTTATAAAAAAAAATGTCCCAAAAAGTACAGTTTTCATTAAATGGTCAATGTTGATATTTTTAATTTTTACTTTATATTAAAATAAACTTTTAGAAAACGATATTTTTCGATAGTGTTTCCAAAAATCTACCTTCTCTGATTCTACTTTAAATTAAAGCTGGTGCAATGTACATCAAGATGAAAAATTATATGAAATGTCGATTTCTAAAAGTTAATGGCTATTAAAACCAAAAATTATATAATTTTGATAAAATTGATTGATTTTGTAATATTTTGCGTTGTAACAGAATAAATACATCAATCTAAATTATTTTTAATTAAAGGTTGTTTAATGTAGTATATGATTAAAAAAAAGGAAAACGTTACAGTGATTTATTTTCTATGAGTAATTATACACTTAAGTCAAAAACCTTTTAATTTTTGATAGTGTAGTAACTTGAAATAAAAGTAAATAAAACATTTTGTACTTAGTATTTAAGTTGAGAACGATGATGGTTAATTCTGGAATACTACTTGTTTATTAATATATGATATTTATATTTTTATTGGGATTGTAGAGTCCAAAAATTTAGAACAATAAAGACAAATAGATATCTCTCCACTCCACTTTATTAGAACTCTACAATACTATACCTTTTTAATTTTATTAAACATTAAAATTTATCAAATATCATTTGAATATTAAATGTAATGTCTTTATCATATTGTATACCTGTTGATTATATAAACCTGTATTAAATAGTATAAAACAAGAATAAGTTATTTGTATTTTATTGAGTAAACCAGCAAATATGACTTTTTTGAAAGTTTAAATATAAAGTAATTACGATTTAAACATATTTCAAAAAAACTCTACAGTATTGTTAAACAATACTGTACAAACAAATAATTGATCACTTGCAAGATATAAATTTTAACACATTCAAGAAAAACTCAGTGAGCTTTGTGTTCTAAAGTAAATCTAATTAAAAACTATACACAATTAAAATTTTAAATATTTAGTATTTCACAGTTAACGATTTCTTAATTAGTGACTGAATAATTTAACTATAATTACAACAGGTAAAAATGTATTATTTTAGCGAAACGCATATTATTTTTCTGAGAATTATAATTTCAAATGTTATCATTGTTTATACAACTAATGAATTGAGCCAGAATATTGAAAATCAAACAACTATTACAATTGAAAAATTGGATAAACTCTTCTGGGAGTATCCTGCATTTATAAAGTTGACATTACAAAAACACGATTATTACACAGGAAAAGATATTTCTCGTTGTCCAATGCCTTACAACGAAAACACTATTTTAGACGATCCCGATGTTGTGGCTTCTAAGTTATTCAACCCAAGAGAATGTAAAAAACCTTGGACATGGACGCAAAAAAATGAAATAGATGTTTGTGTACCCATTGGTGGTACTATTGGTAAAAAATTAGGAGAAATCATTCAACCAAGTCTTAAAAACAATAGCGATATTATCCAAAGTTATACTCACTATTTGAATGTTATCGAAAGCGTTGGTTTAACATTAATAGACAGATTTTGTTTGTTTGAAATTGAAGTTTGGAATAGACTTGATGAATTGGAGTATATTGTAGATTTTGAACACAAATATAGCTTATTTAACATTAACATTAATATTGAAATATTAGCCTTGATTGTAGAAGATTTTAAGAAACTCTTAAAAAAAATTTCGTTTGCATTTGAACAGTATTATATTTCTACTTTACCTATTGACTATATGAAAAATATCATAAAGAAAATGATAATGCATTGTAATGGTGTAGCTTTCGAAGCTGATGAATTGAAAGAATTATTCAAAAACTGTAGGGATTTAATAAAATCAAAAATAAATTATGCTGCTTTAGAAAATGATCAAAATTGGCAATGGGACATTACTTCTGATTGTAAACCTGATGACAATTCAATGATTATTACACTATATAAAAATAATAAAATAGGATTAAATCTATTTACCTACAATAAATTACAAAAAAATATTTTAAAATAAAAATTTTCTTTTGCATCTATTGAAGTATAATAATTATTAATAATACATGTACATACACACACATATATATAATACTATGAATAAAACAACATTTATCTAAAGAATGTTCCTATTTAGGGTATTTAAAATAATGATTTATTAACAAATAATTAAAACCAATCCCTTATAACTCATCAATAATGCTCACGCTAGAGTTCTATCACAACTAAATGATCAAAAATAATTATACAATAACTCAAGAGTTTTACTAAAGATCGCTGGTGTACTTTATCCAGGATTTAAAAAGGCTATTTTTTCTAAAATGTTCTATCTAAGAATTTATTAAATATTAGTTAGTTTGGCCATATTTTTTATAGATACCGTATAAAAATTAGAAGGAAACATAGTTATTTGTCAAAATTTTTCTATTATCCGGTTTTCCTGTACTATTTCGTCATGCTTTTTTATATATGTTTTTGAAGTGTTTATAGTTTAACTTTTTTAATTTAACGGAATATTATGAGATTATCATGTTAAGAAAAACACCACTTACTCCTTCTACCAGAAATATGTTACTAAATTAATCTACTACTCTACGTAAATAATATATTATATAATTATTTTAGTGCATAACTGTTGGATGTTGATATTTTTACTATCAAAGGTAGCACGGCATGCAATATTATTACATTTTTTTTTTAAATAATAATATTAAAAATCAAAATATTCTACTATTTAATCTTATTACTCTGTATGCAACATTTTGAAATCTTATTTTTTAATGACTAATACTTGAATAATGTATAAATTTTTTCTAATTTTTCATTAAAAAATGTTTATTTATAGTACGTGTGTTACAATTTCGTCTTTTTATTGTGTCTCTCATATTTTAGATATTAAATACGTATTTTTAAGATATATCCATAAAAAATCTACATATATATGAAACTATTCAGATTATATAGTGACATTTAACTGCCCCATGAGCTCTATCTTTCCTTTGGATGACTCGCTACTAAATGATTCGACTACTATTCTGTTGTGGTAAACTTTGGCCAGTTACATGTTTTCGTAATATGCCTACCCAAAGGCTTACATTTTGCATATACATTTATAAATGAAAAATGTATTATCTGTTTTTATCTGTCATAACTTTTACACTTTTGTACAATATCTATTATATATATATATATACAACTTAATCGTTGTAAACTATGCATTTTATCTTAAAATAATAATTATATTATATTACCAATTTAATAATACAAACTGAAAATCACTAAAAGCGCAGACGACATATATCCTAAGACGGGAGTAATAAAAAATAATATAAAAAGGCTTAGTTCTGCTTGCACACACAGGCACACAAATTCTGGAATCAATTTAGAATATGGTGCGTGTGTTCAAGTTTTACTTAAATCCTCTTATTTACACAATGAATTACAAGCCACGACGCCGTGTTGTCATCTATATACATAAATATAATATTTATTTATACTTTTGTGTTCAAAACGATATTTCTTTATTCTTCTGAAAATTCGTAAGTATACAAGGTGATTCTCATTTTATTCAGAAGTTATTTTCATTTGTATACCTTGGTTGGACGAAGAGTACGGTCGGGTAATGACTAGTAATAAAAATAGCAGCCATTCAATCCTAATCACCAGTCATTATTTCAAATTGTTAATAACTTCTGATATACTGATTCAAAAATTTTTATTCACCAATTATTTTTTTATTAACATTATCTTCGATTTTATAAGTTAATTAATTATGTATGTTGCTATTTAGCAAATAAAGTTCACATACCTAAAAGTTATAAAGGATGAACCTAAAAATTGTTTTTATAACAGATATACGGAAATACATATGTAACAAAGACAAAAAAAATTTTTTCAAACATCTTATTATTTTAATTGACTGATAAATCATAAGATGATTTATCAGACAGCTTACTTAGAACACCTCTATAAAGAAGAATTTTAATCATTTTTTTTATATCTACTAGGCTTTATTGTTCTAAACTATTGAATTTTATAACCCCGATAGAAACTCGATGCTCACCAATTGAACAAATACCCAATTATTAAAACTTGTTCAATATACCTTTCCAAACCCATATATTCCTCTTATCATTTTTATTATTCCAATTTTACATCTTATCGTATCAAATGCATGTACTCAATTTAATATTTTCCAACACACAGTTCAACAATTAGAAAAAAACAAATTTATCAACGTTATTAATAACATAATAAGTATTACTAGTATAAAAGTATATAAATAATATACATTTCTAAAGTTTATTAGTATTTCTATAGAAACAGAATTTTCTATATGTTATTTACTGTAATAATATAATTGAAAATGCTAGCCTGCACTGATAATATAATATATACACTGATAATATTTATTAATTATTTTAAAATAATTCTATTCTTATAGTAGATAATGATTATCGTCTTTTCATATAATAAAACTTAATTATAAAATATCTAATGCTATTTTTTTCAATTAATATTATATTTATTTTTGATAACCGCAAATACTATAAATTTACCAATATTTTCTCAAATAAAATGTTATTTTGTATTCTAAAAATATAGTTCTTTATGATAGAATAAAAAATAAATCAATATAACACTTGATTTTACAAATGAACAGGTAAAATGTTAAATAAGAAAATAAGAAAAATAATATTTATAAATATAGTATACGTAAAATTAAACAGAAGCCATTATTCATCAATATACGTCATTATAATATTAAAATTTTACCTTGATTCAAAATATACAACCTTTAAATATGAATTTATATTACATAGAACACTTGTAAAAATAATAAATAAATCATACTAATAGTCTAATACTATTAATAAAATAAAAAAACGGTAGCAAAGTGGAGTCACGGCACAGTACGGACGTGGCATAGTTGGGACAATTATAGATGATATCTGACAGTGATTAAAACCACTATCATGAGAAACGCTTCGATGCAAATCTGTCGATAGTGTTTAATTTTAAGAAATTGGTAGATTATTTCAAAATCAACAATAACTCTTATTCCCTTAATTTTATCCCGATTAGTTATTTGATTTATAATTATTTTATATGAATAAATAACAATTTTAGTAATTAAATTTAGTATGAAATTCATATTTAATAATTTAATATTGTAAATTTTACGGAGATATTATAAAAATAATAAAGTAGTAGTATATTTCTTTACTTTTATCGCGTATAAAAATTTAAAGAGCTTGATGTAATACATTTCAATAAAAAATGTTTGTAACTTATAATGTAGTTATAAGTTTTATACACTGGACTACAAGGAACTTTCATCAGAAACAAAAATGTACTTTTCTAAATCAACTTTTTTCGATGTTTTCAAATATGCAATTAAACTTTTTCTATCACTTCTGATTTTTTATATTATTACTAATTACATATAAAATAATAATTAGAGAAAATTGTTGCCATAACTTTTAGCTCAATTACAAGTTTGAAATTGACATCATTAAATAGAAAATTTTATGAGAATTAAAACATGGTATCGTTAAGATTAATATACAGTTAGGAAGTTTTATAACTACTATTTATAGTAAATTTAACAGAGTAGCTCAATATTTTTTTGCATTTTTATCGTAATCGATATCTTAAATAGAAGTAATAGAAATCATTTCCTAATAACTTTTGTTGTTTATAAAGATTCTGCAATTGAAATATTCAGAACTTAATTAATTTTAATGATTTACTTTAACTAAATGAACCAATCAAAACAAAGTTGTTAAAAAGATTTACTCAATTGTGCGTATTATAAAATTTGACTATAATTGTAAAAATCCATTGTTAATTCAGAAGAAACTAACAATCATTTTTTTTAGAAATTATTTATATAACATGTTAACTAAAAATTTGGAATATTATAGTCTAATAGTAGCACACACAAATAGAGTAAAAAACCCAGCACAGTGGGGTCGCGGCATAGTAGGGACGTTGCATAGTTGGGTCCAGTATAGATTTAATCTGACAGTGATTAAAATCACTATCATAAGAAGCTCAATATTTTTTTACATTTTTATCGCAATAGATTACTTAAATAAAAATCATAGCAATCATTTCTAATTAACTTTTGGTGTTTAAAAAGATTTTACAATGGAAATATTCAGAATTTAATAAATTTTAATGATTATATATCTAAAAAAACCAATAAAAAAAAAGATTTACTCAATTGAGCGTATTATAAAATTTGATCATAATTGTAAAAATCCATCGTTAAATTCAGGTGAAACTAAAAATCATTTTTTCTTTTAAATTTATGATTTATATTGCAACATGTAACAAACAAATTTGGAATATTATAGACTGGTAATAGCACACACAAATAGAGTTAAAAAATTAATAATTTACAAAGTAAAATGATTTAATTTTGTAGTTGAAACTTATCATATCAAACTTAATTTGTCAATAAATACTTTGAAAACATTAAAAATGAATGATTTTAATTGTTTGTATGAAAAAAGCTGGTTAAGCTACTTTTTATTTGAATATTTTTTCGATTTTGAAGAGTAATAACTTTAATTAAATACGAATTATAATCATTTGACGTATCGTAGAAAAAAGGAGGTCTAGTGAGTGTTGGCAAAATAAATTGTAGCCACAAAAAGAACCATATAGTAAAATAATATTAACATGAATATCGATTTCTCCTCACAAGGGGAGACTATAGTGATAGAATCCTTTATATTTATTGAAGTTATTAAATCTAAATGAGATAAAAATCAAATGATTTGAAAATTTTTTTCTAACTCAAAAAAAAAGCAAATTATAATTTGCCACAGACGGATTTGAAACTCGTACCCTTAGCGTGATAGACACAAATGTTACCGATTCGGCAACTGTTCGTTGCTTTCGTCACATGATAAAGGTGGCTATTTAAACTGACTCAAATATAAAAATTACTTTTTCGACTTTAAAAAAGTAAAAAAAATTTAATAAGTATAACTTCTTATGTCTTATGAACTTTATTCTATGTCA